TATATTCAGGAAAAATCCAAAGGCATATACTTTTCAGCCCATCTGTGGGCCTCATATGGCTGGTGGGCCCCCAGTTTGTAATCTCTGCTCCTTATTAGGGAGCCCCTGATTCTGCTTCTGCTTTCTGCTCTAAGCACCTCAGTCTTTTGCACACAACTGTAGTCCTTTGCCCCTCATCCCCTACCCTGACCCTCTCCCTGGATGGAGTACCCTTTGTTCTGAGTGTCTACATCCGTCCTTGGCTTTTAGGGCCCACCTCATGCCTTAATTTCTTCAAGGAATCTTCCTTGGTGACTTATGATGATGACATTTATTTTCCGATTCCACAGCCCCACAAAGGCCTGGGTGTGAGTTCTGGCTCTGCTGCTTCTTAGCAGTGTGACCTTGGTTAATTCACTTTACCTCTCTGAGCCTCAGTCTCCTCATCTGTAAAATGGTGATAGTAATGATAAAGATAATAATACTACTTGACCTTTCTATTTTATAGACTTGTCCCTGAACAAGTGCTATGCAAATCGTAAAGCACAATGTGAATAAAATAGATTATTATGTTCTTTACCTGTACTGTGGGTTTGGCATCACATTATAATATTATATGGCAGTGTTTTGTTTTCTGAATATCTTCTCTGGTAATTCTATTTAGCAGTTTTGTGCAAGTTTGCTTCCATCTGGCAAGTTTCTTAAGGGTTATGGCCATGTCTTATTTCTGAACCATTGTTGCCCCCTTGGTCACCCCCCATCAACCCCAAGCCTGGTGCTGGCCCAAAACAGCTGATTGAATTGACTTGCCTGGGCTCAGCTTATGCAGAGAATGACTGAGAGCAAAGAATCCCAGTGATTCTTTGGTAGGTTATGGGAAGAAGAAAAGACAGGAAAACAAGAATTTGAAGATAAGGAATCTGAAGCTCAGACAGTTGAATAATTTCCCCAAGTTCACAGAGCTGGTAGGTGGTGCAGCCAGGCCTCAAACCGACACTAAAGTCCTCTTGGCTCCATCGACACAGAAGTAAATACTATGCAGTTATCTCATTCTGAGCTTCAAGCCCTTGGCAGCCCAGAGAGGAGCCATTACCTTCACGTTCCATTTGGGGACTGGGTTCTCGTAGTTGTCATAGCAACAGTCCTGTTTCAGGCACTGGCAGGCCCTCTGAGCGACTATGTCCCATCTGTAGCCTTTTGCCACATTGTGGGTGGGGTCAGCTGGATCCAGGATGATAGGCCTGCAACACAGAGAGAAGGCGCCCAGGTTCTTTCTGGTTTGGAGGCCCGCAAGCCAGAAAGAAACCTTCTTGGCAATCATCTGAGCATCTGCTATGTCCAGAGCCCAGGACTGTCAGTCTAGGAGGGCCCAAAAACATTGCCGGAGAGTAACAGAATGGAGAGGATTCTGTTTCCAAGAATTCCTCTTGTGCAGAGTACTTTAGGTGTTTGCAAGGAATTTTTGAGGTGTACGGAGGGTGGGAGCTCCAAAGGCATGCTGGAACAGTAACAGCGGCCCACTCAGGCAGGTGGGCCTCAAGTTCAGAGCCTTCATTTTGCTGAACAGGCTACATAAGTGAGTTCAAGGCTAGAGCTGCTGAATTGCTTTGGATGACAGTAACACCACCACCACTATTTACTGATGTTTATTGAGGCATGGGCTCAAACCCTATGTGAATTAACCTATTTTAATCCCTACAGCAATTCTATAAGGTAGGGCCTATGATGACGATGATTGTGATGATGATTTTCCCCCATTTTACAGATGAGGAAACCGAGGCACAGATCTCCCTAGGTTATCCCTAGGGATTCTTACCCATCTCCTCTGCCTCAACAGAGGAGAGGTTGGGCTGTCTCCAAGCATCTCTCCTCTAGGTAAATGTTGAATAAATACTTTAAAGAATATTGGCTTGAAGGGGGTCTAATAGCCTATTTGGGTTGCTTGGGGTGACCACATGTGCTGGATGGCAAGCCCATGATCAAGACCTGGCCCTTGTACTCCAGGAGCTTTTGACTTAGGTGGGAGCTGAGATTTTATCTAAGTGACACAATGTGATAGCAGGCTACTGACATGAACTAGACACCTTAGGCTCCATGCTCTCAACTCCTAACATCCCTGACTCCCTGAATGGTCCTGCCTCATTTAGAGTAATAACACGCTGACCTATGGGGTGGGGTCACCTGACCCAAAGTGACCCACCAGGTGACCTGATATGCAGGCCCTGTGCCCAGTGATCAGACTTATTCCCTCTGGAGTTTGGACCAGGAATGATGTATGTTCCTCATCAACTAGGAGTAAGAGGGGAGCTGAACAGGTGTGGAGAGAGAAGCAGTGAGAGGAAAGGGAGCACGTGGGCAATAAGAGTGAGCAACAGAGAGAGGGGGAGTCTATAGATTTGCCTCAGGTCCCAGTGGTTTTACAAGGTGAATTTTCTGGGCATCCTTACAATAAATCCTCTTTTCATTAGAAGGCCAGGTTTTTCTCCATTGTAAAAAAAGACCCGACACTCACATAAGGGAATAATAAACAATCTTGCGATATTGCTTGCATTGACCTAAAACTTCTAATGTAAAGAGATGTCCCAGGCTGGGTTCCCCCAGAAGCAGATCCTAAGATCAGGATTTGAGTGCAAGTCACTTATTTGGAAGGAGATACCAGGAAGCACCAATAAGAGAGTGGGAAAATGAGACAGAGAAGGGAAGGATGCCAGTAAAGGGTATGAGTCAAGGTGATTACCACTGTGAGCAAGTGGGGGTTAGTCCCCCAGGGTGGACTCTGGGAAGTAGTGGAGAACATGTGTCCCAAAGAGAGTCCCTCCATCTGAGATGGGAGGGAGCTGGGGTATTTATACACCAACTTCCACCAGTCACTTGGGGAAGCTGAAAACCCACAGGCAAAGGGACGCAGGTGCTGACAGCTGGAGGTTGAACCAGCCTTCCTGGAAACGGTAAAGGCCCAGGGGATACGAATGGGTACAGGCAGCATGTGCTACAACATTTATCTGGCATCTGTCATAGGCTAGATACTGTAGGCCCTTTACAAATATTTTGTCTGACTCTCCCAACAGTCCTGCATGTTTGGTGCCAATTACTCCTGTTTTATAGATGAGGAATAGAGATGAGAAAATTGTGGAGCTGGGCTTACACTTGGGTCTCCCTGGTTCTTTCCAGTCTCCCGTGCTGTCACTAAAAAGCTAAGGTAGCTTAGCTTTTCTGAAATGTTTTCCTGAAATGGTCTTCTGAGAGCAAGAGGGCTAAGGTAGGGTGGGTTGGTGGCTTGAGGAACAAGGAAAAGGCTTATAGCCCCTAAGGTCCTTGCAATTTTGAAAGGCAGTCGACTTGAGATGTCAAGTGTGTCAGGGTGAGATAAAGCCCACCCAGAAAACTCGATACCACCTTTCCCTTAATTCTCTTTCTTTTCTCTTTGAGATGTGGTTGGCATGCAGTGATCTAGTACCTCTCTTTTTTGAGCTGTTTTCTGACAAAGTCCTCAATGATCGGGTTCTGGAACGTGTAGTAGTCGGTCCAGTAGATGCAGAGTAACTGATACTGCTGAAGCAGTCTCATCACGGTGGCCAGGCCGCTGTCCAACCTGAAACATGCCTCCTCCTGAGTACCCACTTCCCAGGCGTAGATGGTCAGTAGCTCAAGGGCATAGAGAGGGGGTAGCTCTGCCCTAAGGCACCAGGATTTCACGCACTGTTGAAATACATGGGAAGAGAGAGCGAGACCCCAAGATTCCTTATAAGAATGACGTTGAACCAAAAACTACAAAAATCCAAGTTGTGGTCCCAGCTCTGCTACCTAATGGCTCCGTAGTCTTGGCCAAGTCACTTTCCCTCTCTGGCCCTAAATGGGTTTCTCCATTTTAGAATTAAGCAGCTAGGTTACTCCAGTTGGTTTCAAACTGTGCTTGACATAACTCCCGGAAATGGAGTGATAAAGGGGTGTCCCAAGGAGTGAGCAGGTTGGGCTCTGTCATCAGCACCCCAGCCTAAGCAGGTCCATTTTAATCTATTTAGGCTTCTGAAAGATTTCTTTTTTTTTTTTTTGCAGTACGCGGGCCTCTCATTGTTGTGGCCTCTCCCGCTGCGGAACACAGGCCCCGGACGCGCAGGCTCAGCGGCCATGGCCCACAGGCCCAGTCGCTCCGCAGCACGTGGGATCCTCCCAGACCGGGGCACGAACCCGCATCCCCTGCATCGGCAG